AAGCAATAAAGCCAAATTGCCCCCTTTTAGCCCCACCTCTCAGCCCCCTGGGGGGTCAGCCCCACCAGTTGTACAATTTTGAATCCCCACCACCTAGGGATGCTTCCAGTCAAATATGGTTGATATCCATCTCTTAGTTCCAGAGGTGAAGTCGCTTTAAGCAATAAAGCCAAATTGCCCCCTTTTAGCCCCACCTCTCAGCCCCCTGGGGGGTCAGCCCCACCATTTGTACAATTTTGAATCCCCACCACCTAGGGATGCTTCCAGTCAAATTTAGTTAAATTCCAATCAGTGGTTCAGAAGAAGAAGTCGTTTAAAGAAATTGTTGACGCAGAGACCTAATTATTTCCATTTTAGATAGCTATTAACTACCACACGTGTTTGCTTAGACTAAATTATATGACCATTGAGCGATGGTCGATCTTTTGTTTTCAACAGACTGGGGTGAAGCGAGGCGTGAAGACTTCACCTGGAGTGGACAGGTGATCACCTCGGGCGATGTACAGTTGGCCGGACATATTGTCTTATTGCAATGTGTCATGACGCCTGTCAATTTTAACTTTTTACTTACCATAAAAAATACAGGGTTTTAAAATATTGATTAAACGAAATATAATCCAAACGAATTTGTCCCAAATAAGACCACCAAGAAATTTATCCGTAACGAAAATATATGCTTTTACAGTAGTTAACTCCCATACCACACACTAGTTAACTCCTGTGCTACACACTAACTAGTAAACTCCTGTGCTACACACTAACTAGTAAACTCCTGTGCTACACACTAACTAGTAAACTCCCATGATATACACTAACTATTAAACTCCCATGATACACACTAACTAGTAAACTCCTGTGCTACACACTAACTAGTAAACTCCTGTGCTACACACTAACTAGGAAACTATGTTGCCACACAATAACTAGTTAACTCCCATGCCCCAAACTAACTAGTAAACTCCCATGCCACACACTAACTAGTAAACTCCCATGCCACACACTAACTAGTAAACTCTTATGCCACACACTTACTAGTAAACTCCCATGCCACACACTAATGAATAAACTCCCATGTGTCACACTTACTAGTAAACTCCTATGCCACACACTCACTAGTAAACTCCTATGCCACACACTAACTAGTAAACTCCCATGTCTCACACTTACTGGTAAACTCCTATGCCACACACTAACTAGTAAACTCCTATGCCACACACTAACTAGTAAACTCCCATGCCACACACTAATTAATAAACTCCCATGTCTCACACTTACTAGTAAACTCCTATGCCACACACTAAATTAATAAACTCCCATGTCACACACTTACTAGTAAACTCCCATGCCACACACTAACTAGTAAACTCCTATGCCACACACTAACTAGTAAACTCCCATGCCACACACTAACTAATAAACTCCCATGCCACACACTAACTAGTAAACTCCTATGCCACACACTAACTAGTAAACTTATAAGAAAAGTCCTTTTACATATATAACTAATACATCATCAAAACAATTTTTTTTCAATTACTTGTGAATCCATTGCAACAATTCCTGAAAATTTTCTGTCCTCTGTGTCTCTCCAGTGATGACCTTGACTTCCTGACTGAGATACTGGCGACATTGTTGACCCTGCTGCTCTGCCAATGCACTCTGCTCTACAAGGAACACAACCTTAGGGTTCCTCCTTCCTCTCATCCTCTTGAAATGTTCCTAAGAAAAATCAGAGTAGCTGAAGAATCAAGGTATTCGACCAACTCACTTGAGCACAATGTTACTGCATGGGATTACTCCAGCTATATGTTGTTCGATCAACAGGAAAACTCAGTAAAGTTTACTATCTGAAAGAGATTACCCGGATGATATTACTGAATCAATAAAGGATTACTCAGAAAGTAATTTTAAATCATAAGTCTGAATGGAAAAACTTGGGCTTTTGTTACTGTGAGATCAAGGTGACCTGGCCAATATCGCTTTATGAACAGAATAACTTGGGTAAATATTTTCCTACTGTCTGAACAAGTCAGACAATTTAATCTACACTCTACATGGGGTTAATTACTATCGTAATGTTGACATCTATATCAACAATTACAAGGCAAGCAATGGGTCTGTATGCTCACCTGTCATTCAATGCTGTTCAAAAACATCTTTCTTATCTGTGACCTTCAAAGTCAGTCAAGGTCAAATTTATTTCCAATTTCATTTAATTTACCTATTTTGAATTGATAAAAGCTATATACTACAGTTTAAATATTGTAGGAATATCTAAACTTATTTTACTTGTGGGACTTTCAAACTTGGTCAAGGTCATTTGTGTGAACAAACAAATGTGTTAACCTATTAAGCCACAGGCTTTAACTATAAATGCTGTATACCTCTATGATATTGAGTTACATCAACCGCTGTCTTTACCTCAATGATCTTGAGAGCGACATGTGTCTTGCCACTTCCTGTAGGAGCCACTATGATACAGTTGTGGCCCTTTAATCCCGACTGTGCTAGCTCCATCTGGTAGTTACGCAACTTCAATCCCTCTCGTGGGACAGAGTTATCTGTCTCCCGGTCCATTTGGCTATCACAGTTATTTATGTAAGACTCAGCCTCTGAATATAAAAGCACAAACTCTCATCATGTTAATTCCATACATTACATAACAAGTGATCCCAGAGGGATCTTGGCGCCCACCTTTGTACCATCTTCATTAGTTCTTTGTCAGTTCGATCTTTTCTCTTCTTTCCTCTAATCTGTTTGATCGAGTCATGTTAACAGTAAATGCACCTTGAGGTAACTTTTGATCTAAAATTAATACTGATGTGTATGAAAGCCAACCTTCAAAGTGAGTTTGTCATTTCACATATTTACAAGTACAGTACTTAATGTGAAAGAAATAGAATCGATCATTGCAATATGAGTAAGATCTGTTTAGTTCTTCTTTTAATCCATTTTGTTTTTATGATCAGTCTCAAAATATAACATAAACAACGAGGGATCAAGGGGAACCTACATTTAAAATTTGAGAAAGATTCCTCACGTACTTCCCGAGAAATAGCCATAACAAACTTTCACTATCAAAATCCAAGATGGCTGCCTGTCGGCCATGTTGTTTATCCGATCAGTCTAAAAAGTTGCCCTGCACAGCTCGGGACCTAGAGGAACCTACATATAAACTTTAAGAAAGATCCCTGCTGTACTTCTTGAAAAATAGAGATAACAAACTTTCAATATCAAAATCCAAGATGGCTGCCTGTCGGCCATGTTGTTTATCCGATCAGTCTCAAAAGTTGCCCTGCACAGCTAAGGACCGAGGGGAACCTGCATATAAAATTTGAGAAAGATCCCTTTTGTACTTCTTGAGAAATACAGATAACAAGAATTGTTTACAGACGGACGACGGACGGACCACGGACCACGGATGCAGGGTGATTTGAATAGCCCACCATCAGATGATGGTGGGCTAAAAAGGGATTAAACTGATCATATATAGTTATCAATCGCTTCTGTTGACCCTAATGAAAATGTCTTAAACCCTCAGATTTCCCCAATACCTTTTCAATTGGGGAACCTATACCAGTTGGCCGTCTTGGTGAAAGGTCATTGTGCTATATATATCCACTAGCTGTGCCACCCCAACACCCTGGTATATATCATCTTGAATTTAAGTTAACTGGGGACTGAGGCAACACCAATATTAATATAGATCTTTAGAATATACAAGTGATAACAGAGGAATCATGGTACCTACCGGGATAAGATCTTCACTGAAGTTCTATGTAGGAGATATCTGGTATAGTACAAGCTAGCTAATTTTACCACAGAGGGATGGACACAAGGGTGGAAATACAGACAGACATAATGATAAACATAGGGCACTTGTATATCTGATGCGGGGACCCTAATTACACCAGAATTTACCAGTATGAAACTTTAAAAGGTTTGAATTTTTGAACAATACATTAGACCCCTGTGATAGAGCATGAGGGTTAAGTTCATCTATACAGCCTAACTTCATCCCAGGAAGCTCATCCTCATGGAAAATGTAACTACCATCAATCTTTACAAGGAATTGTTTTTGAAGATTTTTTTTAACACAGGAAGTTAATTCCAGAGACATTGAAAGTAGGTTAAGGTCACACATTTCATCCAACTTGTTTTGTTTACTGGGGCAGGTTTCAGCCTCGTGTACATTATACATACCATCTGTGTTCGTAGCTATATTCATGACCTCCTTCAGACCAAGAGCTTTCTCCGTGTTCTCATTGGTCTCGTTCAGTTGATTCTCCAGGTCTGCTCCTCTTATGTTTCTTGTGTTGGGTAGTATTCTGTCCTGACCACAGGTAGGTGCTGATGACGAGGTTTTATGAGATAGTGGTGACATTGAACTCCTGTGAGAATATGAAGATGATGGAGATACCTGTTTATGAGGAACCTGAATGTTTGAAAAGTCCAAGCCTGCGAGTAATCTAGACATTGGACCACTCCTTTGGGAATGGTTGCTGTGGAGATTGGCTGAGATTTGCTTCACAGATGTCTCCTCTTCCTGCTCTTCATCATTGATGCGACTGTTCAAAATGTCTGACAGCAAATGTTCCTGGGCGGACAAATCACTGCTCATAGAGGAAGAGCCAGAAAACTTCACGATTGAGGGTTTATCAGAGAGTTCCCTGTTGTATGGAAGACTGTTTGGGGGAGGTGGTGCATAGTTCTCACTAGTGAAAGCTGAACCATATCCTAATGACAAAAAAACAGAAGTTAAATTAATAACAAACTGAAAAATGTTTCTTTTTTTCTACCATCCCTTTCATGTTTTCACCATCACACATATATATTCTATTCCATCTACTACCCTTCATACTATATATCTCTTACTCTTCTCCCTTTCCTATCCTTCATACTGTATATCTCTTACCCTACTCCCTTTCCTACCTTCCACACTATATATCTCTTACCCTACTCCCTCTCCTACCTTCCATACTATATATAGTATGGAAGGTAGGAGAGGGAGAAGGATAACAAATATATAGAATGGAAGGTAGGAGAGGGAGAAGGGTAAGAGATATACAGTATGGAAGGTAGGAGAGGGAGGAGGGTAAGAGATATACAGTATGGAAGGTACGGGAGGGAGTAGGGAAAGAGATATACAGTATGGAAGGTAGGAGAGGGAGAAGGGTAAAAGATATATAGTAAGATTGGTAGGAGAGGGAGTAGGGTAAGAGATATAAAGTGTAGAAGGTAGGAGAGGGAGTAGAGTAAGAGATATACAGTATGGAAGGTAGGAGAGGGAGAAGAGTAAGAGATATATAGTATGGAAGGTAGGAGAGGGAGAAGGATAACAAATATATATCTCTTCCCCTACTCCCTCTCCTCCCTTCCATACTATATATTTGTTATCCTTCCCCCTCTCCTACCTTCCATACTATATATCTTACCCTACTCCCTCTCCTACCCTTCTTACTATATATCTCTTACCCTACTTTCTCCCCTACCTTCCATACTATATATCTCTTACCCTACAGCCTCACCCACCAAACGTACTATATATCTCTCCCCCTACTCCCTCTCCTACCTTCCATACTATATAACTCTTACCCTACTCCCTCTCCTACCTTCCATTCTATATATCTCTTACCCTACTCCCTCTCCTATCTTCCATACTGTATATCTCTTACCCTACTCCGTCTCCTACCTTCCATACTGTATATTTCTTACTCTACTCCCTCTCCTACCTTCCATACTATATATCTTACCCTACTCCCTCTCCTACCTTCCATTCTATATATCTCTTACCCTACTCCCTCTCCTATCTTCCATACTGTATATCTCTTACCCTACTCCCTCCCCTACCTTCCACACTATATATCTCTTACTCTACTCCCTCTCCAACCTTCCATACTATATATCTCTTACTCTACTCCCTCTCCTACCTTCTACACTTTATATCTCTTACCCTACTCCCTCTCCTACCTTTCATACTATATATCTCTTACCCTACTCCCTTCCCTACCTTCCATCCTGTATATCTCTTACCCTACTCCCTCCCCTACCTTCCTTACTGTATATCTCTTACCCTACTCCCTCTCCTACCTTCCATACTATATATTTGTTATCCTTCTCCCTCTCCTACCTTCCATACTATATATCTCTTACCCTACATATCTCTTACCCTTCTCCCTCTCCTCCCTTCCATACTATATGTCTCTTACCCTACTCCCACCCGTACCTTCCATACTGCATATCTCTTACCCTTCTCCCTCTACCTTCCATACTATTTATCTCTTACCCTACTCCCTTTCCTACTTTCCACACTATACATCTCTTACCCTACTGCCTCCCGTACCTTCCATCCTGTATATCTCTTACTCTACTCCCTCTCCTATCTTCCATACTGTATATCCCTTACCCTACTCCCTTCCCTACCTTCCATACTATATATCTCTTACTCTACTCCCTCTCCTATCCTTCATACTATATACCTCATACCCTTCTCCCTCTCCTACCTTCCATACTGTATATCTCTTACCCTACTCCCTCCCGTACCTTCCATACTGTATATCTCTTACCCTACTCCCTTCCCTACCTTCCATACTGTATATCTCTTGCCCTACTCCCTCCCCTACCTTCCATACTATATATCTCATACCCTCCTCCCCCTTCCTTCCATACTATATATCTCTTACCCTACTCCCTCTCCTACTTTCCATACTATATATCTCTTACCCTACTCCCTCTCGTACCTTCCATACTGTATATCTCTTACCCTTCTCCATCTCCTACCTTCCATACTATATATCTCTTACTCCCTCCCCTACCTTCCATACTATATATCTCTTACCCTATTCACTCTCCTACCTTCCATAATATATATCTCTTACCCTACTCCCTCTCCTACCCTTCATACTATATATCTCATACCTTTCGCCCTCTCCTACCTTCCATACTATATATCTCTTACCCTTCCCCCTCTCCTACCTTCCATACTATATATCTCTTACTCTACTCCCTCTCCTACCTTCCACACTATATATCTCTTACCCTACTCCCTCTCCTACCCTTCATACTATATATCTCATACCTTTCTCCCTCTCCTGCCTTCCATACTATATATCTCTTACCCTATTCACTCTCCTACCTTCCATAATATATATCTCTTACCCTACTCCCTCTCCTACTTTCCATACTATATATCTCTTACCCTACTCCCTCCCCTCCCTTCCATACTATATATCTCTTATCCTTCTCCCTCTCCTCCATACTATATATCTCATACCCTTCTCCCTCTACCTTCCATACTATATATCTCTTACCCTATTCACTCTCCTACCTTCCATAATATATATCTCTTACCCTACTCCCTCTCCTACCCTTCATACTATATATCTCATACCTTTCGCCCTCTCCTACCTTCCATACTATATATCTCTTACCCTTCCCCCTCTCCTACCTTCCATACTATATATCTCTTCCCCTACTCCCTCCCCTACCTTCCATACTATATATCTCATACCCTACTCACTCCCCTACCTTCCATACTATATATCTCTTATCCTTCTCCCTCTCCTACCCTTCTTACTATATATCTCTCACCCTACTCACTCTCCTACCCTTCTTACTATATATCTCTTATCCTACTCCCTCTCCTACCCTTCTTACTATATATCTCTCACCCTACTCACTCTCCTACCCTTCTTACTATATATCTCTTATCCTACTCCCTCTCCTACCCTTCTTACTATATATCTCTCACCCTACTCACTCTCCTACCCTTCTTACTATATATCTCTTATCCTACTCCCTCTCCTCCCCTTCTTACTATATATCTCTTACCCTTCTCCCTCCCCTACCTTCCATACTATATATCTCATACCCTACTCCCTCCCCTACCTTCCATACTATATATCTCATACCCTACTCCCTCTCCTAACCTTCTTATTACATATCTCATACTCTACTCTCTCCCCTACCTTCCATACTATATATCTCTTACCCTATTCACTCTCCTACCTTCCATAATATATATCTCTTACCCTACTCCCTCTCCTACTTTCCATACTATATATCTCTTACCCTACTCCCTCCCCTCCCTTCCATACTATATATCTCTTATCCTTCTCCCTCTCCTACCCTTCTTACTATATATCTCTCACCCTACTCCCTCTCCTACCCTTCTTACTATATATCTCTTATCCTACTCCCTCTCCTACCCTTCTTACTATATATCTCTTACCCTACTCCCTCTCCTACTTTCCATACTATATATCTCTTACCCTACTCCCTCCCCTACCTTCCATACTATATATCTCTTACCCTTCCCCCTCTCCTTCCTTCCATACTATATATCTCATACCCTACTCCCTCTCCTAACCTTCTTATTACATATCTCATACTCTACTCTCTCCCCTACCTTCCATACTATATATCTCTTACCCTACTCCCTCCCCTACCCTTCTTACTATATATCTCTTACCCTACTCCCTCTCCTACCTTCCATACTATATATCTCATACCCTACTCCCTCCCCTAACCTTCTTATTACATATCTCATACTCTCTCCCCTACCTTCCATACTATATATCTCTTACCCTTCTCCCTCTCCTACCTTCCATACTATATATCTCATACCCTTCTCCCTCTCCTACCTTCCATACTATATATCTCTTCATCTTCTCCCTTTCCTACCCTTCTTACTATATTTTTCTCACCCTACTCTCCCTCCTACCTTCCATGCAATATATTTCTTACCATCCTTCCTCTCCTACCTTCATAGTATATATTTCTTACCCTACTCCCTCTCCTACCAATCTTACTATATATCTCTTAACCTAGCTACTATATCTCTCTTATCCCTCCCCTACCTTCCATACTATATATCTCTTATCCTTCTCCCTCTCCTACCAATCTTACTATATATCTCTTACCCTCCTCCCTCTCCTACCTTCGATACTATATATCTCTTACCCTTCTCACTCTTCTACCTTCCATACTATGTATCTCTTACCCTTCTTCCTCTCCTACCCATCCCACTATATTTCTCTCACCCTACTCCCTCTCCTACCTTCCACACTATATATCTCTTACCCTACTCCCTCCTACTCACTCTTCTACCTTCCATACTGTTCCATACTATATATCTCTTACCCTACCCCCTCTCCTACCTTCCATACTATTTATCCTTCTCCCTCTCCTATCCATCTTACTATATTTCTCTCACCCTACTCACTCTCCTACCTTCCATACTGTATATCTCTTACCCTACTCCCTCTCCTACCTTCTACACTATATATCTCTTACCCTACTCCCTCCCCTACCCTTCTTACTATATATCTCTTACCCTACTCCCTCCCCTACCCTTCTTACTATATATCTCTTATTCTACTCCCTCTCCTACCAATCTTACTATATATCTCTAAACCTAGCTACTATATCTCTCTTATCCCTCCCCTCCCTTCCATACTATATATCTCATACCCTTCTCCCTCTACCTTCCATACTATATGTCTCTTATCCTTCTCCCTCTCCTATCCATCTTACTATATTTCTCTCACCCTACTCACTCTCCTACCTTCCATACTGTATATCTCTTACCCTACTCCCTCTCCTACTTTCCATACTATATATCTCTTACCCTACCCCCTCTCCTACCTTCCATACTATTTATCCTTCTCCCTCTCCTATCCATCTTACTATATTTCTCTCACCCTACTCCCTCTCCTACCTTCCACACTATATATCTCTTACCCTCCTCCCTCTCCTACTTTCCATACTATATATCTCTTACCCTTCACACTCTCCTACCTTCCATACTATATTCCCCTCCCTTCCATACTATATATCTCTTACCCTTCACACTCTCCTACCTTCCATACTATATATCTCATACCCTTCTCCCTCTACCTTCCATACTATATATCTCTTATCCTTCTCCCTCTCCTATCCATCTTACTATATTTCTCTCACCCTACTCCCTCTCCTACCTTCCATACTATATATCTCTTACCCTACTCCCTCTCCTACCTTCTATACTATATATCTCTTACCCTACTCACTCTTCTACCTTCCATACTATGTATCTCTTACCCTACTTCCTCTCCTACCCATCCCACTATATTTCTCTCACCCTACTCACTCTCCTACCTTCCATACTATATATTTCTTACCCTACTCCCTCTCTCAACCTTCTTACTATATATCTCTTATCCTTCTCCCTCTCCTACCCATCTTACAATATTTCTCTTAACCTACTCCCTTTCCTACCCTTCTTTCTCTAATCTCTTACCTTACTCCCTCTCCTACCTTTCATACTATATATCTCTTAACCTACTCCCTCCCCTACCTTCCATACTATATATCTCTTACCCTACACACTCTCCTACCTTCCATACTATATATCTCTTACCCTACTCCCTCTCCTACCTTCCATACTATATATCTTACCCTACTCCCTCTCCTACCCTTCTTACTATATATCTCTTACCCTACTTTCTCCCCTACCTTCCATACTATATATCTCTTACCCTACTCCCTCTCCTACCTTCCATACTATATATCTCATCCTATTCCCTCTCCTACCCTTCTTACTATATATCTCTTACCCTAATTTCTCCCCTACCTTCCATACTATATATCTCTTTCCCTACTCCCTCTCCTACCTTCCATACTTTCTATCTCTTACCCTACTCCCTCTCCTACCAACCTTACTATATATCTCTTACCCTACTCCCTCTCCTACCTTCCATACTATATACAGATGTATCTCATACCCTACTCCCTCTCCTAACCTTCTTACTATATATCTCTCACCCTACTCCCTCTCCTACCTTCCATACTATATATCTCATACCCTACTCCCTCTCCTAACCTTCTTACTACATATCTCATACCCTACTCCCTCTCCTACCTTCCATACTATATATCTCTTACCCTACTCCCTCTCCTACCTTCCATACTATATATCTCTTACCCTACTCCCTCTCCTACTTTCCATACTATATATCTCTTACCCTACTCACTCTCCTACCAATCTTACTATATATCTCTTACCCTACTCACTCTTCTACCTTCCATACTATATATCTCTTACCCTACTCACTCTCCTACCTTCCATACTATATATCTCTTCCCCTACTCACTCTCCTACCAATCTTACTATATATCTCTTACCCTACTCACTCTTCTACCATACTGTATATCTCTTACCCTACTCCCTCTCCTACCAATCTTACTATATATCTCTTACCCTTCTCCCTCTCCTACCTTCCATACTATATATCTCTTCCCCTACTCCCTCTCCTACCAATCTTACTATATATCTCTTACCCTACTCACTCTTCTGCCTTCCATACTATATATCTCTTACCCTACCCCCTCTCCTACCTTCCATACTGTATATCTCTTACCCTACCCACTCTCCTACCTTCCATACTATATATCTCATACCCTACTCCCTCTCCTAACCTTCTTACTACATATTTCATACTCTACTTCCTCCTCTGACTTTTGACACCTCCCATTACTTTCCTGAGGTTTCTTCCCCACTCCGATGAGACGTACCTGATGCGAAGTTTTCCATGGTATCCTGATCTGTCGACAGTGATAGGCTGTTGTGGACAGGTTTATATTTCTGTATCTTTGGATCATCTCTTTTCTTTGCTTCATACTCTATAACAAATTTCATTGTCACATTTTATCACAATATCAACATGTTACACCCATGTCATGATTTTGCATACATATCCATGTAATTCAGCCTATTGTAGGCCTCGTTAATATATAAGTTCAACAAAAACACTCACAATTGCAAGTAAAGAACACCAAATGTGAGCAAAATGGCCATACAGCTTGCAAGTGAAAATAATCAAATATTGTAAGTTGGTTTTTATACTAGAATATTGTATGACATTTTGAACTGCTCCAGTGTAGCATGTAGCATGAACACTGGTTCTTATTACTACTAAAGTTGTGAAGGAGAACAAGCTAATTTGTTTAAATACTCTATGCTGGGCCCTGCCACTCTGCTCCCAGTAGAGGTGGGGGGAATAACATTTTCTGTAAATACAGTAAATTCTCATTGGTCCAACGACTCTACCTACAAAATTTGGTAAAATCCAATTAAAATATTTACTGATAAGGAGAAGGAATTTAAAAAAATGTCCTTTAATTTTCCATATCAGGATTGCCCCTCAATCCCCAGGGGTGCACCCTTGCAGGCTTGGGGAAAGAAAAGGCCTGCTATTTCCCTATGCATGTTGTAAAAGACGACTAAGTGGGGGCCCCCTGCAGAATCGGAAGTTTTCTTATGTGTCTTCTGCAATAGGGTTCTGTCCCTAGCCAAGGACATACCAAAATCCTTAAAAAGGGTATTTGTCATTCCCTTATTTAGTATTTAGGATTACCACAACAACTGGTTTACCCCTTGTCAGTATAATGTGACCAGGTTTTTGGTGCCTTCCACATGGTGTTTTAGCAAGGTAGCACTCTAGGGTCAGCATCGGATCCGTGCTATCACAAAGAGGCAAATACATCACCTTATCACCAGCTAGCACACATATACACAACATGCATGGAGACACACCCTTAAATGACCTTGGCTGTTAACAGGAATTAAATGTAACCAAACCCAGGGAGTGCTATATCCTCCTCATACACTTACTGATGCTGAGCCCAATCATGCTCAGTCACTCTTGATTTATGAGGTTTTAATAAAAAAGTTGTCAAATAAATGGACAGACCAGTGACAATTAAGGGATGCTGTGCCACCCCATACACTGCTTTTACTTTGTCCTAGTTGGGCCATGTGTACTAAAAATTATTTTTTGATGAGAAAGGAGGAATAGGCAGATGTAGATAATTACTTTCCAGGAAAAGGGAATCCAGTGAGTTGATTAAGTCATCTTGCTTGCCTTCCTCAGCCTCATGAATTGCCTGCAGGAAATGAAAATACCAGTCTTTATGTCTTCTTGGGATCCGGTCAAGAAGAACGATTGATGCTGCAATATTCCCGCGACTGTATCGCTCAGCTGCAATCTCTTCCATGTCTTGCTTATTGAGGACCCCATAGCAATGCAAACTTTGCATTAAGTTAACGGGGTCAAGTTTCTTCTGGATTTTCGGGCCCATTAATTCTATCACTTTCCTGTGATGCGTTGAGTTGGAAATGGCAAAGCTGTCTTCCTCATGTCCTCTCAAAGTTTTCTCTAAATACTCATAATCTGCAACAGTAAAACAAGAGTACTGCAGGGCGGAACAATATACGCCCGTCGAATGCCATATAGTGTTATATACTTTCTTACAATGAAATAAGATCTGCATCATTCTAAGAGTGGTTAGCTGACATGCTATGAAAATTGTTGGAGAAAATCTCCGGACAAAAAATCAAATACTGAAATGAACAAAGGGCAGACACAATTTCATATTATTATTATAATGTATACCAAGTTTCAAAGAGATCGGTCAAAAAATGTGGGAGGAGATTGCCAGACAAACAAAAGTTTACGCCGGCTGGATGACGCGATACCATAATACTCCCGTCAAATTTGATGGGCGTATAAAAATGAATGACGTCCTGTGTTGATTGAATACTTTAAACTGAACATGTAACAGATCACATACATATATGTCATGTGTGTGGTAGAAAACATTGCCATACATATGTAGTACGAGGGCCATACAATAAATTCTGTCACTAGTGTCTGGAATCCCAAGTATGATGTAAAGAGTTTGATATTGTTATTACATTCCTTTGAGTTCAGACACTGGTAACTCAGTAACTCAATTAGTTAGAGCATCCATTCAGACACTGGTAACTCGGTAACTCAAATAGTTAGAGCATCCATTCAGACACTGGTAACTCAGTAACTCAATTAGTTAGAGCATCCATGCATTCAGACACTGCTAGGTAACTCGGTAACTCAAATAGTTAGAGCGTCCATTTAGAAAACTTATAAAAAGGAGGGAGGAACTACATAGGGTTGATCACTGGTGTCCTTGTAACTAAATTGGTTAGAGTGTCCTTCTAGAGCTTGGAGGTCCAAGCTTAAAATCCCGCTCTAGCCAGTCACTTTACCCCTTCTGTTACAGATATATAGCCAGAGGTGATAGATTTAAATTTATCTACAAACCTGCCGCACACAGGCTGTCAGCAAACTGGGACCACTTGTTCTTTTCCTGTGATTCCTTGATGACATCCAAAAGTCGTCCCATTGCTATGATACTTCCTTTTTCCTTTTGTAGTAATCTTAATTCTTGTCTTTTAGCTGGAACAATTTGTAAAGTGTAGTAACATGTAAATCCTAGCGAACGCAATTCTAATGTAAAGAGAGCAGGTATAACCCTGTGGCTGGTGTATCACTCTTTAAAGGTTAGCTAGTAAACCCATAACCAGTGTACAGTTAACTAAGGACAGAAAACTACAGGCTAAAACCCAATCTCTACCAAGAGTTGTTAACCCTTACACATATGGAGAAAATGCAGAAAAACCACAACTGTCAACTCTCCCGCATGGGGAGGGGAGGCTCCTTCACTTTTACCAAAATTTATCAATCTCCCTCAATGCTATATAAATATATGTGACAGGAAAGACAGTGGTGTGATCCCAGACTTCTTAGACGGATGCTCTGTACTAATCTAATTGGGAAGTCCCTCTAGCACAAAACTGAAGGCGACTGTAATTGTATATACAATTAAATCGGCCACGCTACTCTCCCCCCTTTTTTAAATGTGATGATTCTCCAACACCACAACCATTTCCCTGACACCATGGACACTATTTGTAACAGGAAAGTGAGTAGTGTGCTTTCAACAGGGATCAAAGGCACAATCATATATATAGTGCTAGCATGCTGGTATTGTGAAGCATTCATTTCACTATTATGGTAATATGAACCTCCCCATGGTGAAAAGAAGGCTACAATCAATTTCCATTCTGACAAACTTTTTTTCATCCATTTTTTTTAAGTTGGCTATAAGGGGCTTCACTTTTACCTTGATGGTAAAATGAAGGGTTTCAGCATTTTTTTTTCTATTTTACTTTTTTAAACCAAATCATTTCGTGAAGCCCACCTGCCCCACCCTAAATTTCTCGACCCCAGACTTAATTTGTATTATTCATTTATATAGCAAAACACATTGGAGTAAACAAAAATAAAATTCATGGAAAAAGTGTTGTCAGAAAAGAATTGATGTCTGCCTTCATTTCACCATGGGGCGATTCATATGACCGTGGCCGTCACATTACCATACTTGTAGTGTAGCCCTGACACTGTATATCCTAGTCAGACACTCTACCACTGCGCTAAATTAAGGAAAATTCCTTCGTACCCGAAACTAGATATCAACCATAATCCTATATGCACAATTAAAATCTGTGGCATAATATTATAAGACGTACTCTTTCAGGTCCAGGGGTATAGGATAGGGAAATTCCATCCAAGGGGTTTTCAAATGTGAAAACCCTTCGGGTGGCATTTCCCTATCCTACAGTACTCTTGAGCATGAAAGAGTATTTTTCTCTCATTTCAACTACCAGAATAAGCTCATGCCAGAAACCATGAAAATACATTTGGACTGGCTACCATTTTGAAAATATCAATTCCCCTTCCCCCCCCCCCCGATTTTTTTTTACGAAAACAAAATCTTTTTAGATTTATATATCTATAAATGAGCCATTGTGACGTCACGGAAATGAGAGAAATATATTTATTGATATGTTTAAGGGCAAAGAAGTAATAACGACAGTGCAGACAGAAATTTGTCAAATTTTCAGGGCGATCTGCCCCTTTACCAAGACAGGAACATGAACATCTACATATCACAACATAATAACTGACATATGTTTATATACACGAGCTCATCAGGTGTGCAATACTAATATAGAGGATCTGTCATACGTTTCCCTTCATATAATATTATGACACAAGTTTTGGATTTTTCATGTTTTCGAGCCTCCTGCAAGCAAATATGAAAAATCCAAAACGAGTATCATAAATCTAATATGAAGAGAAACAAATGACAGATTCTTTTTATCATATAATACAAAGTAAACTGTATAATTGTGATCTGAAACGTGAAAGTTTGTGATCTAAAATGTGAAAGTCATTGACCATAAGGGTCCGTCGATTCACCCAATACAACCCAATACAAACGTCGATTTCCCAATACAACCAAAACAAGCGCAAATTTACCCAATACAAACATCGATTTACCCAATACAAACATCGATTTACCCAATACAACCCAATACTACCCAGTTCAGAAAGTAAAAACCCAATAAAACTTTTATATAAATACAAAATAAGTATACGATTAAAGTTAAAAATTACATGTAAATCTTAATCGGGCGTATATGAAGTAAATTAAAATCACGGGAATGATGTACAATAATTTATTGTTGTTATATTGGAAAAATTATAGAAAAATATATTTCATTAGTTATGAAGTAATTATATGAATTATCACGGGAATGATGTACAATAATTTATCTTTATTATATTGGATAAAATATAGAAAAATGAATTTCATTATTTATGAAGTAAATTATCACAGGAATGATATACAATAATATATCGTTATCATATCTGATATAATATATAGAAAAATGATTTTCATTATTTATGAAGTAAATTACCGCGGGAATGATTTACTATGAATCGGAAAGAAATCCAATAAATACAGAAGTAATTATTATTTGTAGCAAGCATCACCTGTCAATCAATGGTCAGGTGTGTAACTGGCTCAGATGACACGTGGCGAAAGCCATACCTAAATACTATTAGTTACACAGTTTGTTAGTGACCTAATACGGAAAAATATTGGGTCTAAAAGAAACTTGTATTGGGCTCTGCTTCGCCTCGCCCGATACAAGTTTCTTTTAGACCCAATATTTTTCCGTATTAGGTCACTAACAAACACATATTAGGTCACCAACAAACTGTGTAACGAATTTATCCCGTCGAAGGCCCTTTGGATAAAAGTTACTGCAAAATAATACAAAATTCAACATTTATTCCAACAATAACAATTTTAACATATAAAATTTAATACATAATTTGTTGACAACAACAAAAATTTAATAAAGATAATTCGATATTTTACAAATATTTTCAGTGAACTTTCATGTCCTGATCACCATATTTGGCTATTTACCGGTACTTTAATATCACATATACTTTCACCCGCTTTGTTAACATTTCATCAGCTGTCGTCTGCACAAACCGCTTGGTCGCCATCTTGTTACAAGTTGACTCTTATGGGCAAAGAACGATAACTTTTTCGTACTCACGTAATGTGAGATTCTACTGACCTAATATGAAAATATACTGGATATCATGTGACGTCGTTTTAACCAATAGGACTACAGGATTTTTGCCTGAGGCGGGATAAAATGTCAATCACGTACACGCGTGACAAGTCACGCGCCGCTTAATTAGTTGTTCCCTTCACACATGGACAGAATCACAACACTGTGTCTATACATGACAATGACAAACTTGAAGTTGAAATGAAACAGGTGTGTACAGATGTGTAACTTTATGATTTCCATCGGCTTTACAAAAGATTTAATCACTGATGATTACATAAACTTGATGGATTGTTTCATGTCAGAAAAAAATAAATTTACACAGTTAGATAATTGCTAATGTTGAGTTTCAAATAATATTCTTGATGATAAATAACCCTCGTTTTTAAATTATTTTAGAATTAATAGTCATTCAATATTGGGACAAAAATAAGCACACACTTTATATACATAGAACAATGTTCACTCAGTAACCCGGAAATAATTAAAGGTAAATATTTCATCAAAATGATAACTAAATTAAAACAAGAGGTCCATTGGACCTGTATTGCTCACCTGGTTTTATATGGAAGTCATTATAACTGAATGTATTAGTACATCTTTATATGAAATTTCCTCAAAACCAGACAAGATCTATGTTCTAACCCAACTGGGACCACAATATCTGACTTTCAACTAATCAGGGGCCTCCATTGAGTTGCCATGTTAACAGATTTTGAAATAAGTAATATGTCATATTACAGGGTGTAATTAGACAATACTTTAATTTTCATTCACCTATAAATTTTATAAATCTAGAAACCAATTTTTAACAATTTATGAAAACTACACCATAGAATATGATAATCTAGCTGTACGATTTCTTAGGACTGCAGGGGTCAAATCAACCTCATTCAATTAAGAAATGTTTGTTCTTCCTCAATAATGTTTTTGACCAAATTTTGTACAATCTGCTCAGACAAGTAGGGGGTATTAGTGTCTTAAAGCAAAAGCCAGTTAATTTTCCTCTTTGATCCGTTCTTTGGTCGAACCAGCCTCATTCATTTAGGAAATGATTGCCCTCCCCCAATGAAGTTTCAGAGCAAACTTGGTTAAAATCTTCCCTGGGATTGAGGAGGAGATGCGTTTTAATGCAAAATTTTAGCTAAGTTCCCCTTCAGGGCCCCGCCCCCCTGGCCTCAGGGGTCGAACCAATCTCATTTATTTAGGAAATGGTTGCCCTCCCCTAGTGATGCTTCAGTTCAAATTTGGTTGAAATCCTCTTTGGCGTTTAGGAGGAGATAGGTTTTAAAGAAAAAGTTGACGACGGACGCTGCGCCACGGCATAAGCTCACCATGGTTCTTTGGACCAGGTGAGCTAAAAAACAAGAACAACGAAACTTGAATACAAATAAGTTTTAAGTTATAACTATAATGCTTAATTAGTTGCTGCTCGCAATCTCCTATATCCCCAATACATATTCCGGAAACAAACACAAATATATTTAATGATCCTTATATATTTTAAACAATTTTTTCTTTTTTGTCTTTATATATACTTAAGTTCTAACAATACAACATATAACAAGTACAAATGGTAATATATGAGAACGAGTGAGTATAATTATGTTTTTTCCGTTATTGTCCTTCTATCTACCACTAATGAAATATTCCAATACTCTTTCCAGACATTGTTTACTTGTTGATAGATACAATATATTGTTGTTAAAGACATTAAAAAATATGGCTAGGTTAAGAAAAGCATTTCACTAATGTGTATCCATTCGTTTACTGTTCCAAACGTGAATGAAACATAGTTTGAGTTCCTGTTAATGTGGTGCAAATATAGAAAATACAATCCACTTTTTCTTCGAATGTCCTCTTTGTAGGTATTTTAGGCGTCACATCTTCTCTGTGTATAATTCTATTAGGATTTGTAAATCTTCATGTTGTCATGGTATCGTTGGTATGACTAACGAAACTAATAGAAATATACTTAATCATACTAGTTCCTATTTAATAAAACTAAACGAATCCCAATTCATAAGTAATACCTATAAATACATGTTCTAACGATATACCTATAAATACATGTTCTAACGATATACCTATAAATACATGCAAGTTCTAACGATATACCAATTACGAATGGTAGTATGAGAGTGAGTGAGTAAATGTGTTCTTTAATTATAGTTAATAAATCTTCTTTTTTTTTCCGTTATTGTCCTTCATTTGTATCTTCCACCCAAAACTTCAATATGTTAATGAAATTAAAATAATCGGATACCGGTATCTAAAGGAAAAGACTACAATTACATGTACTTGTATATATAATAAGCCTGTTGTCTGGTCCCTTTGTTAATACATGTACTGCTAATATATTTCTTCTATAATAATTGTATTTATCTTTGTATTAACAATGAAATATTTTGAAATGAAATAGATTGAATAAAGTAATTCCAAATAACGACGATCTTGCCAAAAAATACCTGGGTCGTCACAACATTGTTACTTGTATTGGGTACATTAAACTTTTATAATGGATAGTACTGGGTTAATCGATACTTATATTGGGTAGTATTGGGTTGTATTGGGTTAATCGATACTTATATTGGGTAGTATTGGGTTGTATTAGATTGTATTGGGTAAATAGTCGCGCCGACCATAATAATAAATAAGAATTAAATCGATCGGACAATGAGCGATAAGTTGTTTTACACCCGGGTTCGCCACGTCCATAATAGCAACACAGTATTTCCACACTGGACATACACTGTAATACGTACCTCTGTCTATAAAATCTAATAGTCCCAGTATCTCAGAGGCAATAACACATTCCACGATTAATTCCTTATAGAGGAAAATTCTCTCTTCGATTTGGTCGTCGATAGACATATCTGGCGTCGCCATATTTCTAATTTCGCTTTTGACATCTGCTGGAAATTCCACATTCGGTATGCCTTCTCTTTTATCAATGTTGTGAATGGTAAAATCCACAAAGTCATGACGTCATTTTCTCGCTAAAGATACTTTCACTTTCGGTTTCGTCAAAAAGGATAATTCATGGAAAGTTGCAATTGTTGGTTTGTTGAAAGCGTGACTTTCGGTTTGGCTAAAGCTACCAAACGTACATTGTTAAGACATACTTTAGGCCTTTAACATTTAAAAGTTGTACCGACTCCAGACAGGAAGTGGACGTTCCACCTAAACTTGACCAACCTTTGGCCTGGGCGGGCATTATATCCGTCGATTTATATATATATAATTACCCAATACAACCCAAAACTACACTATACAGAAAGTAAACACCCAAATACAAATAAAATACAAAATAAGTATACAGTTAAATATATACATGTAGAAGTTAATCGGGCGTACTTGTAATTGTATTTTCATGATTTATGAAGTTAACTATCACGGACCACGTATGATATTCAATAGTTTATAGTTATTATATCGGATAAAATATAGCAAGATATATATCATTATTTATTAAGTTAATGATCATGGGAGGGATATACAATAATGTACCGTTATAATTATTATATCGGATAAAATATAGTAAGATATATATAAAAAAAAATGCGGTTCGACGATTTACAGGAACGGGCAGGAACGGGCAGAAACGGGCAGAAATGGGCAGAAACGGGCAGGAACGGGCTGCAATCTATTAATTATTATATACATTAATGAATATATATATTAGATACATTTAAGTATCATTATCGGGTATAAGATATATTTGATAAAAGGATTGCAATTACATGATCGGGGCAGAATCGGACTAAATTATATATATACATTTATGACGATATTACTTATGATACCTACATTTATAGTATCATATAA